CTTGATCTCTCTCTCTCTCTCTCTCTCTCTCTCTCTCTCTCTCTCTCTCTCTCTCTCTCTCTCTCTCTCTCTCTCTCTCTCTCTCTCTCTCTCTCTCTCTCTCTCTCTCTCTCTCTCTCTCTCTCTCTCCCTCTCTCTCCAGTCCTCTAACTTGGGCGTAAGAAACAGCAGATCTATCTATCAGATCTCACCCCCAGCTGAGTCTCTTGACTCTAGCTCTGCATTCTCGCTTGACTGCACATGTACACGCACTGAGCGAGCTGCCAGAGCACAGTGGGAACCTTTGTGACACCCAGGCCTTCCCTGGGTGCGCATGTGACACCGACTAGCTAGAAAGGTTAATAGTTAGCATGTCCCACCCACTCCACTAGCAAACACACACGCTATTACCATTTACATACAGCACTCTCAACACGCGGGACACCTCAGGTGCACGTAGCCCACAAATACATGCAAACAATGCACAAGAATATAATGTACAACGTATAAGTTTAGGTGTATGACATCAGGAGTCTATCAATATTAGTAGACTATCATTATATAGTCTATTGATAGACTCCTGATGACATACGAATAAGGTATAGGTATATATGTAGAAGGCATGAAGTATAAATACAACGTATAGGGTATTTAAGTAGGTGTAGGTATACGTAAATGGTCAAGGGTATATATGTCCAATGTATAGGTATAAGTAAAAGGTATAGGTATAAGCAGAAGGTATAAGGTATGCGTAAAATGCATGGAAAAGGTATAGGCATAAGGTATGCGTAAAATGCATGGAAAAGGTATAGGCATAAGGTATGTGTACGTGGCAAAGCCTGTAGTACATGGCCCATGCTGGTATCTTATGGTAAATGTATTTGACCACGTTTACAGATGCTATGTCATGTTCAACAGGGAAGATCTGCAGAACACATCAAACCCCTAGCTAGATACGTATCAGCAAGAGCGTATAAAGAAGGCCTTCTTTATACGCTCTTGGTATCAGTCATAATCAGTGTAGTAGCGATCCGCGATATTGTGCGCCAAACACCACAAACATTTTATTGGAAGCTAAATAGAATTCCAAGAACATGTTTTTTATTACTTTGTGAGGGGGGGATGAGGTGCATGCTTGAAAATTAGGTGGCAATCACTCGCAAAACTGAGAATTTCGCTGCACGCGCAATTCGGATAGAATAACATTGACATATACAGCTGTACTGCACGGCTCAACGCCAAATGCAAATACTCACAGGTCGTAATGCTGGTTCCACTTGGGGTCCATACTGTTTTTGCATGTTTCTGTGTTGTGCACCTGACCAGTTCCATCCACGGAGATCCGCACAAACGGGTCCGGCAGACCTGCAATGAATGGGCAGCCAAGGTGAGTGACAGCTTGACCGTTACCTTGACAACAGAGAAATCGGCCTACAGGCAGACACACACCATGGTGGTGACCCAGACACAGACAGCAGCTAAAGAGGTAGTAAGTCCCCAGTAAGGTGCAAAAATAGGTGGTAGCCATATCCAATCTAGGGTTAGTATAGTGGGGGAGGAGGGAATTTAATACTGTACAGCTAAAACATAAACATAAGCACCAGATAATAATGTCATTCACAGGTTACCGTCCTTATCTGGTGTTCATGTTTTGGTGCTGGTGCGGTTGGAGTCATGTTCTGGTGCTCGTAGTAGAAAATCATTTTCTATTAAATTGAATGACCTTCTACTAACTTGGAAACATTATGGCAATGTGACCACATCTGACCCCCCCCCCACCCCAATATCGCCCACAGCAAGCTGTGGTCTGTAAGTTAAAGTTACTCGACTACCACGGAAGAAACAACAGCGAAACAGCCACGCGGCAACTGACATGTTCCGAGCACTATCGTAAGATAATAGCACAAGCTTGACAGCAATTCGATACGTTGCGTAAGCGCTGTGGCGGCAACTTCTGCCGCCCGAGGGGTGGGGGGTCTCCTAGCTCTCCGCCGATTACCACTGACTGTGCAGCCCAGCTGTAACAGTTGCGAGGTGATTACAAGCTGGTAAATATGCATTAACATTGTCTCATGTTTCACAGCTTAGCCATTTGTTTGATGCTGACGAACCCACCACACAAAGTCACAAATACTGTAGCTTACTAAAACAACAACTAGTAGTAGTATTGTTTTTTTTAATACTTTCCAAAGGAAGAGCGCATCTCGATCATGGAGTTAATAAAAAACGTGGCTTAACAACATTTCAAATCATTGTAAAACTAAATCACAAGCTGTTCTCGAATTTTAATCTTTTGTGTGCAAGACATATGCAGCATATGAGCATGGTAACTGGCGGTTTAACGAAAGACCTGTACTGCGGTTGAACCACGGTCGAAACACGTTTCTTTGTCCTGGCCACTCTGCATCATACAATGCACAAGTTAGACTGGCGGTACCACAAACACATCCACTCCCGCGCGTTTGATAACCTCAACAGATCACACGCCAGCCGACCAGCTTCATTATATGATTAGTGTCAGTCTAACCTGCCCACGCATCATGCATGATCAACAAGGAGAAAAGCTTCCGCAGCATATTTTACTCGGAAGTTGACCATTTATTTGGGCTAAATGATATTTCAAACAAACGGGTGTCATTTTTTAAGCGCAGGTATATATATACTCATCTTAGATTAGAGTCAAGAGCCCATGAGCAGCATTATAGTCAGTGAATGTGTTAAAGTAATATTACGTGCAATATAAATCGTTGAAGTTGCCACTGTGAGTACATATAACGTTCATCATTATGAAGTCGTTATGTATAACGCACAAAAGAACCAGTCTGCTTACCATGCAACCGCCACGTCTGGTATTTAAATCGAGACCCTGTAAAATTTAAACGTCCTCAGCCAAGCCTGGTTAATCAAACAAAAAACACCGCTCTCCTCAAATCTACCCAACTAGCTGACAGACGCGCTGTGCACTATTGCGCTAACCAGAGAAACAACTTTTGCGGTTTTTAACTACATCATAGTGTCGGTACATACAAACATACGAGATTACAGGGCCCAAATAGGCTATTTAAACCATTTGCTTTGCGTACCATACCGTCTCGCCTCTTATACGACCATTTAAGGGAGACGGTCTCATCACGTTACTAGAAGTAAGTTATTCACTACGAAAAAATTCCCTGATGACATCGTAAACATCAATATGGCAGAGAACACTGGCACTCATAATTACAGTACTGATCACATACTTCCACGTTATAAACAATAGCACGCAAAGATAGGAAACAGTGGAACGCATCAACAGCGTCATCAGAATAATCAAGGCTGTACACACATATTTGTTTTCAGAGGACAATAGCTCGCATGCGTGTTACGTTTTGCCAAACACTGGCGTCCCCGTTTAACAAATCGTATTTCAATGAGTGCCTTATTCAATGGTTACGGCCGCATGACCAACACAAGTTACATTGATATAGATCTGTCAGCAATAGAAATAGCAAATAAGCGCAGCCTAATCTCACGCCGTCGATTTCGCATGGTTTATCAGTATTAAGCACACCAAAGGTTGCTAAGCAAACTAGAGTTCATGGAAATATCTCGCGCGCAAATATACAACTGTACCATTTATTAACTAGCATTAATAAACGAACGAGGTGCGGTTATATATAGTCGTACGTGGTAACACGGTGACTGCCCTCCCCCTCCACCCCCTCGTCCTCTTCCACGCCCACGCATGGCCCACCACGGCTGGTCGCTGGTGCGTGGGCCGCCCGACGATGAGCCATATTAGGCTCTATATAGTTACGACGTCAGCCGTAGGCGTGCCGTGTCATCATTCTACAGCTATTCTCCTTGCCTTCGTTGCCGCAGCGATCCCTACTAAGGTAGCCGCACTAAACACTTACTCTGCTCAGCTGGTATACATGATGCGAAATAACTGGAGTCCGGAGTCAAATACTCCCCGATTTACTGTCGCCCTGATTTGACATATGCAGGAGACTGTCCGTGTGACTCCCTGAAAATTCTGCCATACTAACTAGTTTGTTCCGGAGCACGGCCTCGTGGAATTACCGTATTCTTTCAGCTAATCATGTCCAAAGAAAATTTGGCAGACGTGCAACCGCATGAATCTTCAAAATAAGCACATGCGTTATTGTTAATATCTTTAATTTTGAACCTCAGACTGCAGACTCATTTTGCTGCGGACTCCCTCTTTTTGGGGTAGGGAGTCTGATGGACTCCCGTGTTCAAAAGTTAATTTCTACCCCTGGGTATATATTTATTATTCTTGATTAGCCTGCGCAAGCGAGACCATTCCTGGGCGGATCAGACGACAGGGAATCGAGTTATTTTGTAATTTTGGATGTCAATTTTACTATGGTTAATACACTACGTCATTAATTCACAGCACTATCACATTGCTATGTGGTGGATATTTCAAGAAACCATTTCACAAGACATAACGCTGCAAGCTCCTCTGAATCCCCAATTCTCCTGACCCTCCTATACTACTCTCCTCGCTCACCCTCGCCCACCTTTGCTTACACCACTCCTTCTTTCGCACCCTCCCACTGCTCACCTCATCCTGTCCACCATCCTCATCTCAAGTTCTCAACCCATCCTCTTTGCGACACCCTTTTCTCCACACCCATCCTTGGACATTTCCGTATACTTGGACGTGTCATATTGGTACAATTATTACACAATATCCTCAAATTAGAGCATGACGTGTCACTAGAAACTTCTGTACACTAAATTTAAGTCGGACGAACAAAAAAAGGTAGATTTTCACACAAATTCTCACCAACGCTAACTTTACCATTGCATAAATTTCGAAATGGGTGAATTACGTCAGACTTACTTATCCATGCTGGTTTTGCTAAACAATGCTTTACACACAAGCATGACCGTGATCAGTTGACCCTAACAGCAGCAAGCAGGTTTCTGAACAACAACGATTCGCTCTGTGATACGTCACTCTAAAAACTCTTGGTAATCGGCTGTCGGATTTCGTTAACATATTAACATGTATACATGTACATTACTAGAAACCTGCTCGAACTTTGCCCAGTAGCAATGTCAGCGAGCATATAGAGTCAAATAACACAATGTAACTTCTTCGTTAACATTTTTCTCTGTTTCGGTTGCCACTAGTAGGTCTGAGCTCTTTTACGTGTTTTTCTGTCGATTGCTTTTCCTGTCCTGCCCCTCCCTCAGATATAATTTCGAATTCATCAATATACAATGGCTCCACTTCAGATTTGGTGTTATTTTTTTCTCAATTACATTACACAGTATTTTTTTCGTATAGCATAGCAAAAAAAATTTCATTTTCCTGACTGATCCCTAACATATTTTTAGCATAATCACACGTTTTTTTCGAGATATAACAAATTCTTTCCCGGTTCGCCGTTTTCGATGTAGGTGGGCACTTGAATTACACATACCAGTGACACCACCCTCTCGCCACTCACCCAGTAGTGTCAGGAGTGTCATAGATCTATATTATGTAAGGGTGCGAAATTAACGGGAGTCCGGAGTCAAATACTCCCCGATTTACTGTCAAACTCCCTGATTTGACATATATATATATATGCAGGAGTCCGTGTGACTTCCTGAAAATTCTGCTATACTAACTAGTTCGTTTCAGAGCACGGTCTCGCCGAATTACCGTATTTTTTTAGCAAATGTGTAAAGAAAATTTGGCAGACGTGCAACCGCATGAATCTTCAAAATAAGCACATGTATGCATTATTGTAACGTTAATATCTTTAATTTTGAACTTCAGACTGCAGACTCCCTCATTTTGTGCGGACTCCCTATTTTAGAGGGTAGGGAGTCCGTTGGACCCCGGTGGTTAATTTCTACCCATTTTATGACGCTCCTGGTAGTATCTACTCTCTACCTTGCGACAGCACCGTAATAAGATGAGTTGCACTGGCGTTCGGCCAGATGTCAGCCAGTCACACAGATGGCAAGCGGGTGGCGGTGGTCATAGTAGCATAAGGGTGTGAATAGGATGTCAGCAGTGGAGCAAGGGGAAGAGGGTGGTGAGAAAGGGATGGAGAAAGGAGGCTCGGAGCCACAATGGCACAGAAGTTTTCAAGGAAATGAAAGGTATGTGAGCAGTCTGAGACTAGATGGCGAGAAAAACACCGGAGGAGTAGAGGAAGGAAAGACATTGATACGCAGGTTTTCGAGGAAAGTTTCTGGAAGGACGTGTGATGAAGAGGAAACGACACGATAACCAACACCACCCCTCTCCCTACAAGCATGTGAGACTAGTTCTGAAAACTGAAAAATCTAAGGAATTAAAATTTAATAATTAATCTAATAAATGGCACTTATCATTCAACCCTGTCACCTTATCTAGACTAACATATTTCCACTTAGCTTCAAGAAACGTCCACGTAAGACATGCGCGTGCACGCCAATCAAGAGTATATTTAAACTCTTACAATTAACGGTTTGCATTGGGATACATTGGCTTACATTCAGCATTTAGCATATATATACCATATACCTACTCTCTGTGTAATATTTACAGACCAATGTCACTGTGAAAATGGAACAAACATTTGAAATGCTGGCACAACTATGAAAACTTTGATTAAATTTGACTAATAGGGTAGAAAAAGGAAAGAAATCCCAGCAAAAAGAGGTAATGCAGGTTGTCTGGAAATGACTGCGGTAATATTAACGCCTTCCAGTCGTGTAAACAGTGCAGTTTTCTGTTTTTATTCATACAGTAGCAACTAGCAACACGTTCGAACATAGCAAACAGCTCACATGAATAATTGCCCTCGAAACATTTAAGGGCAGATGACTGCAAGAAATGAACACTGTCTATCTTGATCGTGAGAAAACCTGAGAAACTGGTTCCTGGGCCAGCACCAGACAGAGATAATCGCGTCTGCAAATATCTCACCACCCAGGGCCTAAGATAAAATATTGCTCGTTTCCCCTTTACCGACCGACTCGCCAAAACGACGCTACTCGACACATTTTATTGGCCGATTAAAACAAAACAAAAATTATTTCGTTTCTCAAAAAAAAAAATCAAATTCGTTCCCCAAAAAGATATACACAAAACAGAATATACAATATATACATACACACATCTTGTCAAAACAAAATAAAAAAGATTTTTCACCTACCTACCTACTCGGTATCCTGGGAGGCGAGTAGGTAAAGGGGAAACAATCAATTTTTTAAGGGTGGCCCAGGGAATTTCATTTAGCATACATGTACAAGCGCGTGTAATAAGCAAGACATATACATCTGCACACAGGCCACCGAGTACACTAGATAGATTTTGGTAAAAATGTGCATGCACACAACCAAATAATTAGAACTGTCTATACATGCAGTATACATTGTTAATGTTATACTGATTAATGGTTCTTCTATAGGTTTTAATACCAGCGCAATAACGGAAACAATAGTGGCACAACTAGTTTTCTTTAAGCAATTTTGAAACAAATTACATGTTATACATAAATTTACATTATGAACAATACTGATACTTCCTTACACACATCTGTGATACAAATAATATCTTTGCACTATGAACCACAACAATAGTAAAATTACAGCACCTGACAAGCCAACCAAATCTCACATGGGATATTTAAATTCCAAGAAATGTACTCCCTTTAAAAAATCATCTGGCTATATATTTAGCCTAACCAAAAAAAACTGACCCGCGGTCACAAGTATGGTTTCAGGGTATTTTCGAGAACAGTTAAAGTTCAGGTCACTGTCTGGACTCAACTAACACAGTATCTGTCAAATGAGTCGCAAATGGTAAATACCCAACAGACTGACAAACAACACGTCGAAGTCCAGCAACGGCCAACATCACATTCGTTATGCGCCCAGGTAAGTGTGCAGCTGTACAGGTACAGCAAATAAAGCCGTTTAAATGCCACCTGATAAAACCTGCCAACGGTTCGTTTCGGTTGAACAGTCCCATTAAGTAGGATGGAGAGGTTGGCTAGTGGGGCACTTGTATTATCATGATATATATTTGGCCAATGTTACCATCTATGTATACCATGATATGGTAAGCTTGCAATTTGAAGCATGCTATTTTAACAACAAACAAATTCGAATTCTGTAAATATCTATGTATTTAAAAATACGGCTGCATCACATTGACATGTAACTAGTTACCTCAGGCAATACACCTACTCGCAGAGGTTTAAATCTACGGGAATCAAGTGCGCGCGCACTGCATGCGTATGCAATAAACACGTTACACGTGCACACGTATATATATACATTACTAGCTCTGCAATTCTAAAATGAATAAATTTGTTTACTTACGGAAGAAATCCTTTTTGGTCAAGTTCTTGGCACATAGTACTGTAACAGAAAAATTGTCCATGCATTTATAACATATAATTAACAAAACTTAAGTAAGTGATCAAAATAAAAAAAAGAATCATATGCTTTTAGGTAAATTTGCATTGTTGTAAAAATTGTTCTATGTTCACACACTGACCAATTTATTACTAAAAGAGATGAAGGGTGATTACAACACAATAGTTTTAGGTAGCGTCCTCACAAACATATAACTCACAATTTCACTGGACAGAAACGTCCACATCCCACTCAGTTATTGTGTTATATGCATGCAAATTGTTACAATATCACAAATTACTTCTAAATATAGTTGTTTAAAAACATCTACACTGTAGCAATGAGCTGGGACTCTTGCCTTAAGCGGGCAGCACACTTCACCATTTTCGTTGCTCGTACAGGCAATTTTCGTGGTCGCCACAAAAATGGCCAAGTGTGCGGGGGCCGGCAACGTCCACTCACCACGGAAATTTAGTGGTGACCACGAGTTGCCGAGAATCAAATCGGTTTGATTTCTCACCACGAAAATTGCTCGTGGTGGCAACTTGTGGTGAAGTGTGCTGTGATGCGGCAACGGCCACGAAAATTGCCTGTACGAGCAACGAAGATGGTGAAGTGTACTGCTAGCTTAAATCTTAGTATTATATTATAATACATGTATCTCTTCACTGCACAGTGGGAAAAAACTACATACAACTTTCTTTATACACTGCACTGCGAAAAACTGGGGAACATGGCAAAACAGGGAATAATTGTTAGTTGTGTTGTCGTCAAGTACAACAACTCGGTATAAACTGCTACTTGTTACTGTTAGTCAGTCATGTGTGAGATTGTGAGAGTATGGGGCGCACAGCCCTGCAATTTACAAGTATTACTATTATTAGATTCCGAAACAGGAGGACAAGAAATATTTACGGATGCAATACTTCAGATATTAGGATCACTTAAAATCACGTTTACCTATTCTACATATAGTTATATCGAATAGGGAGTCGGTTTGTTTACGGTAACTAATAGTTAGTAATATTGCTACAGCCATCTTGCCTGACTGATGTACAGTGTACTACATTGGCAGATGGCCGATCGAGTTCGGTGAACAGACATGAACGAAGTCAACCTATAAAATACTACAAATGAAATCGCGCGGATAATAAATATATCTTAGCTACGAAATGAATACTTACTCGTTATTCTTAACTTAACCTTGCCTTGTTGTCTGTAGCTTGAGCTAGACATGGTAATTTAACAAGTATCCATGTGCGAACGACAACATAACATAAGACGAGAAAACCAAACCACACCTATACCATTGTGTGTCCGCCGTCTGAGTGTAGGGCCGCTGTCGCGGAGTGATCGCCTGTCTGACATGGTCGTTGCATTTTTACCAGCGGGGGTGTCCGTATGACGGTATATGTTGTGTGCTTTATAACACTTACTTAGCGACATAATCTTAACAGTATCGCATATGCTTCACACTTTTCCAATAAATATTGTATTATTAATTATAGATGTTTTATCTATACAAAAATTTACGACAAGCTACTATTCTATAATGTCCTAACGCAATGTCCTGGGACATGTAAGTTCCTATATATATATCAGCAGGAGTACTACATCATGAGTCATATTTCAAGAGATTATTATAGATAGATTATCTCTATTATGTATTATCTTGATATATATATATATATATAATATTTTATATATACATATATATATATGTATACATACATATCATTTGTTTTTCAGATAATTCATAAAAAATACATAGAGAGAATATATACCTATATCTGACGAACGTAAAGTACCGGTACATGCAATAATGACATGACCATAATATATCTCGTGAACACATACACACACACACACACACACACACACACACACACGCGCGCGCGCACGCACGCACGCACGCACACTCACACACGCACACACACACATACACACACGCACACACACACATACACACACGCACACACACATACACACACACACACGCACCACGCACGCACGCACGCACGCACACTCACACACGCACGCACACACACACACACACACACACACACACACACACGCGCGCGCCGCGCGCGCACGCACGCCACGCACGCACGCCACGACGCACGCACGGACACACTATTATATATATATATATTTAGCTCTATACTTAGTATTGTGTCATCAAAGACTGCCGTACTTTGCTAACACAAGCACCCTAACAAAGGTATGACAGTGCTCCAAGGTATCCATGCAGGTACTGCCTCTGAATTATGTCACGTATCCGTTAATAGCGCGTAACCGTATAAAGCGCGTCTATGCGTCACATCATGAACATATATACTTACTGATGCATACTCATAATATATATATATATGAGTATGCATCAGTAAGTATATATGTTCATGATGTGACGCATAGACGCGCTTTATACGGTTACGCGCTATTAACGGATACGTGACATAATTCAGAGGCAGTACCTGGATACCTTGGAGCACTGTTATACCTTTGTTAGGGTGCTTGTGTTAGCAAAGTACGGCAGTCTTTGATGACACAATACTAAGTATAGAGCTAAATATATATATATATAACACCAAATATGTACAGATGACACAAGTCAAAATGATTTTATAATCTTAAAAAGGTATTCGATCAACCCCACATAACCTCGTAACCTCATAAAGATTAGTTTTCGGAACGATAAGTCCATGCAAATGACTATATCGGAGACGAAAAGTTAAAGTTGTTTAAATAAGCAGATAAACACTGCGGATCGCAGTAGAAAAAGCGTCAATTTTGCAATAATTAACTCACGATCGAGGAAGGAATTATAACATTGGAATATATATAGAATTCCAATATATGGGATGACAGAAATTTAACCATAGAAGTTATATACGTTATATTTCTGGTCGTGTATATTGTTGTTATACATGACTTCAGCTAGTCAAACAAACAATGATACGTTTTATCACGAACATACAAAAAATCACTTGTATAGTATAATAGTTATATCAATAATGCAATGCTCATGTTCATGATAATGTCCAATGGTTAGAATCCCAAATCCCTAGCAGCTCTCGGGTACCGGTGTCGTATCCCAAAATGCATAGCTAGCCACGTCCACGTCGCCGTAGCCATTTGTTGTGTAGTTGTTACAGAATTTGTTCAATATGAATGTTTTTAGGCTGTCAGGAGATGTTTCGCATCTTTTAGCTATTCTTATATTGTTGATGAAGATATGGAAGACAAGATCGTGTGCAGGTTGGTATTTGACACATAATTTCTTCATTGAAAATGGTAGCTAAAATGTGGCCACGCAACCACTTTTCTGCACCAGCTATCTTACTCGTACTAGTCGTAGTCGTAGTCAATGTGTATAATAATGTCACTGATCCGGAATGAGCCTGTACTTCGTCTACTTCAATCGCAGCTGTGGATGCGACAGCCTGAAGTTGTCAGCAGAACCATCTCAATAGTCTATGGACATCAGACGGTCTATCGCTATTTCGTTAAACTTATAGTCATTAAAAATATTTAACGTAACACTAACACTAACACTACAGAGTACAGTACAAGTACAATCAGTATTCCGTTCTAATCTATGTCTATGATTTAGCACAAGACATTAATAATAATATATTTACTCAGTATTATTATTAATCTGCTTTAAGAAATGGCACGTGTTATCACTAGGCAGTGTCAATATTTGATAATTTAAAGTATCAAGATTGGCTTACAAGGAACAGCATGGACATTGATATATGTATGTTGCTACTTAGACATTCACATGTATTATGTGTATTATATGTTCTTGTGTCTTGACATGTATAGATTTATGTTACAATATCTATGAAGCACAGACACTTGCTCACTAAATTGCGGACTCCCTCTTTCTGGCAGCAGAGGGTTCGTTCTCTGCCCACATGATGTAGGAGTTCACATAGTTCACTACTGCATGCTTTTTCTTTGACAGGAATTTCGGGGAAGAGTCAGATACTGTTTGCGCTAGTCTACACGACGCGGTACCTGGACTTGTTCACGAGCTTCATCTCGCCGTACAACACGGCGATGAAGGTCTTCTTCATCGCCTCGTCCTATGCAACGATATATCTCATCTACCTGAAGTTCAAGGCGACGTACGACCGCAACCACGACACGTTCCGCATGGAGTTTCTCGTTCTTCCCGTTCTTGTTCTGGCTTTCGTCGTCAACCACGACTTCACACCGCTAGAGGTAAGCCTCGTGACGTTGGGGAGTGGATTCGGGTGACAATCGGGCGGAAACTCTTCGTAAGGATCAGTGATAGTGTCAAGGTGTCAGCGTCAGCGTCGTATGCATGTTGTTGTTAAATTTCTGGGATCAATTTGGTAGTAATTGTATGTAATTTCCCAATTTTTCATGTACATGCATACATACATGTGTAGTCACATATCTGCATGCATGTGTAATTAATAGTACTTAGAGAAACAAACATATAATGAATGATATTGAATGTACATATAGATGTATAAATGGGTTATGAAATTAAATGGCGGTGAGAGCCTTGGGAATTATTTGTTACAATCCATTTGATTTCTCAGATCTTGTGGACATTCTCTATTTACCTCGAGTCTGTGGCGATTCTGCCGCAACTGTTCATGGTATCCAAGACAGGCCAGGCAGAGACAATCACCTCCCATTACCTGTTTGCACTCGGAATGTACAGGTGCGCTATATTCTTTCTATTCCTTTGGTATTATAGTTGAAGCAGGTAGGTTTTGGAAAGAAAACTTGTAGGTCACCAATAATCTTATGGCTAATACAAATGATTAAGCAAAAAGTCTGCAAAATTGTCGTGTTATTTCTGTGGTAATCGTAGAATGGTACATTTAAAATCTAATGCTGTTGTTATGACTGGCAAGTTGTTATTTAAAGAAGATTGGAGGAGAAGAGGTGATATAAGTTTGTGTCCTATATTGATCAAGCAGAGAATTGTTTTCAATTAATATGTCTTGCTGATATGATACACTGGTGAGTAAATATTTTGTTAATTTCCTTACAGGGCACTGTACATTGTTAACTGGGTCTACCGCTACTACTTTGAGGGCTTCTATGATCTGATTGCAATCATTGCTGGTGTCGTTCAGACCGTGCTCTACTGCGACTTCTTCTATTTATATGTTACCAAAGGTGAGTTAATGTATCCAACTAAAGTCTTTAGTGCCTAACTGTGCTGATACGGCTGCCGTCGCTAATGAATAGTACATTGTTATTACACATGCTCGAAACATTCCTGCGCATTGTTTATAGTTGCTTGGCTTACGGAAGACCTGTGTTAGAAAGATTTGATATGCAGCCGTGATGTTGTTGAGGTTGAGTAGCGGTCTCTTGCGCTGGAGGTCAGGGATGTTTCTGAAATGCACTCAGGAGTGCTGCCACATAGAGCGAAGTCCTCTGACAAAATAGGGGGAAAAGTTGGGGTGGGTGCAACAGGTTTTCACAGTGTTTATACTGGAGTGTGAAAAATCACCCAATTCCAAGAACCAATTATGATAGGCACACAGGGAATCAATTGAGATATGATAGGCATGCAGGAAGTCAATTAGGCTATATGGCAGGCACACAGGGAACCATGCAATTGGGTTATGGTATGCAAACAGGGAGCCAATTATATTTTTAAACATGTCTAGTAGACAGCTCGCCCACTCGGTGGTAGTTTGATAATAGCGATATTAATGTTGAACTGGTCAAGGTGAATAGGCCTTTGTTTTACAACCATAAGCATAAATGTTTTCATATATATATACACATATTTATATCATAGTTACATGAAACTGATATAGTATTTTCAATGCAAAATTCACATATGGCTGTGTGAAGAGCCTTACTGGTAGCCAATACCAATAAGTTTTATTTGCTGTCTGCAACTTTCTTAATTGCCCTTTAAATTTTTTTTACAGTTTTGAAGGGAAAGCAGTTGACATTACCAGCATAAAGAGACATCTCATCTAGAAAAACTCCAAGTAGTATTGGTTATGGCCAAGATAACATACAGTACAGTGACTACAGTCAGACACCAGGATTGTAAGATCAGTTGAAAATCGAAAGAGTAAATCGTGCAGTCTCTGTTTGATGGTACTGTCACGCACAATGTAGTACCACTATGGCCTAGGTATGCATTTGATGATGACAGCTTGCCAAGATTGCACTGCGTATCTGTGTTTTGCTGTTCTGGATAGACTTTTTTAATGTATGGTGATTGGCATCTAATCATCTTTGGTCATCAGTTAGTGTTATTAATCAATGCAATTTTACTTGGATATTAGTCAAACGTGCAGGTAATAATTGGTAGCAACCATAGCAGCGAATGTACCTCTATCATATGAGGCATGCTTAAATAGCTGATATGATTGGGAAAGTACAGCTCCGGCCTTGTTGTAGCAGCCTCCACTTTATCCATATGTCATTTCTCATCTCCTCTATCTGAATAATTGCTCTCAAATGGATATTGACAAGCAATTATTCCAGTACCTGAAGGCGAGCTATATTGTCTGGTGTGTTATGTTACGTATGAAAAATAAGGGATGGCTACCCTGAAAAATGGCAACTGGCTTTGGGTAGCGTCATAACCATGTCGGTGAGTAACCCCTATACGTTGTCATGTTGTATCAATAATTTGTCTCTACCAGCTTTAATATCTTCTCGTGTTTCTTATCTTGCAGCCATTTCTGGCCCTGTGTTATTGACGTTGCATGTACTGTCTGACTGCACTGTATCTGTATATCATATAAACAGTGTAGGTTAATTACTTGTGGATTTCACATAGACGCCATGCAGATTTACTTTTAAGCGCCTAAAACTTGGTAAAATTTTATTGCGAATGGGAAACACACAGCGGCTTAATAGAAGTATCTGTACTTGGTATTATTTGGGATGTCTTGGACGCATGTGCATTTTACAGCCAGTGCACTGTCTTACCATGCTCTTGTTTTGAATAGCATGAGATGCGTCATGTAGGTGAATGTCCACTGAATGTTTCTTTAGCATTGTATATAAAACTTGAATCGACATGGAGGCCTGATAGATAAAGGAGACATACGAGCACTGATAGTTCTAAAGAACCTAAAACAGCATCTGGATATTGTAAAAATGTAAGCGGTCAGTTATCATTTCTAGAAAGTGAGTCGCTGGTCTGAGACTGGGTGGCTTTTCTAGTGGTTCATGATTAGAAGTGGCCCAAGCTTTTAATATTTGCAGACGGGGAACTGAATGGCTGCTCCTTTGGGTTAAATGCAATGTTCGGCAGCCTGTGTCTAATTTCTGTCCAGTTGTTACACCTACTTGGGTTGGAAGACGTTTTTGCAAATTTGGATCACATCTAGTAATAGTCATGTGTTTTTGTTGGAATAGTAGCAGGTTTATCACAATGTTCCACGGTGTGTTTCTTAAATAGGCATAGTCCCATCTATACGTGGGACAGGCAAGGATCAGCGAGTGGAGGGCGAGCGTGGTAGGTGAAATACAATTGGTGTACATGTGCATCATTGTCATGATCAATCGTGAGAATCGATAGCCATTGTTTTCTAGTTGATGTGCGAGTTTTCAATAGTCTCGTTTTGAGAAAGCGATTGATTACACATGGATACATACTTCAGCAGCACATAATAAGTACAGAAGTGCATGAGCTTATGTCATCGTCAATTAGTTTTGAACTCTCTGTTTCCTGTTAAATTCGCATCTAACTCTTCATTGCCGTGCTATGGCTGACAGATGAACTATTGAAGTTTTTAGTTTCAACAAATTCAGTGAAAATTTACATTTACAGTGAAGTCAGATTCACAAATTTACATTGGCAGATAAATTTGCTATAAGTGTTACAATGGAATGGAAACTATTCATTAAAAAATATTTTTGTCGACATCTTTGGTGAAACTGGTGGTTGCAGTTGGCCCTCATCCTGGCTCTTGGGTATCCTTCTAAACTAGTGTTGCCCAGTGAATGCACTCCTGATGTAGTTACAAGCATACACTCAGATTAAAACCTGGGGTTTATTAGTTCATCGTATTTCACTATTTAGCAATCCGGAAATCACTCGCACATGTGGACCATGTCGCACCGGATCTAGTATTCTGTTTTGCAACAATTCATTTACTGGTGTTGTCCTAGATTATTTTAACGTTTTTGTCATTTTGATACAGTGGTAAATATATTGTATTGGGAGTATCGAATGGAGCTGTTGGTATTGCAAGCAATGCCTGGAGACTAGAAAGGAAAACTTTCTAGAGAAAAGAACAGAATTTCACATTTTAGTTAATGGGAGAAAAGCCTGCTTAGATGGATGGACAAGTTCTACTGAAGGGAGGCAATTCGTCGGTATATTTTGTATATAGCATACTATCGTTTACTTTTCATGAAATATTCATGGGCCTTTTGATGATTTCCACGCATGTGTTAGATGCTAAGAGCTGGTTAGAACATCAAATGCTACACTTGTCTATTAAGGTATAAATGTAAACAGTACTACTAAAATTGAAAATTAATACATTATCCAGACGTGTTGCTGGGTTATATTATTATAAATGTAGCCCTTTTGCTTTTTTGTGTGATATTTGTTGTGTATATTATAGTCATAACACAAACTCGAATTTGTGAGCATATAATTTACAACCTGCGAAGGATGTCTCCTGAAAAACAATTTCAGGTTTTACAAGGAAAACGGACACATATACAATCTACACAATACACCATGATAGCAAATCCCACAATTTACAGATACTTGCCAACTTATAACTTTTTTCAAACGTTTTCAAACGTTGCATAAATGAATTGGTCGTATGTGTAAGCTATTCTCTGCAGTCGCCACAATTTCTACACATGCAACCAAGGAAGAATGATGTGCCTCCTACTAGATAACAGTATTCACACTCCACAATTCATACTTACTAGGTAATGACATGGACTAACACCAAGTTACTCGTACTATTTGAACGAAATCCACCGGTTCCATGATAATTTTCTAATGGGCTTTTAATTTCTGAGACATCACAAGATGGTCACACCCATTTCTTAATGTTCAACTCCACGAATGAAAGGAATGGTGACGATGAAGTTGTCATCAAAAATACAATTCGTGCAAATTTTATAATCATTACATTTTACAATCTTGAGATAAGCACTATAGTCATTGTTCACTCGGGCAGGGGGATATAGTTTGCCTGTCGCAACTGGAAACTGCACAACAGAAATAGTAGTGAATATCACTTTATAGTAATGTCAATTAATTATCTAGTCAACAAATCCAGTTTCCTTTTCAGTGATATTTACTGAACAATTAAGCACTCAACAACATACCTTTCCATTCAGTGAAACATAATTACTTGTCATAAAAATTTTATGACTACCGAAACGTTCTCTACGACATTCTGCATGATAAACAGATAAAAGTGCAAACGAATGACAGAAAATGAGTGCAGTATCACAGTGTTGCTATGCGAATCAACGCTTCCTTCGCTTGTTTACCGGAGTCACATTCTCATCCGAATCTGAACCAGAAAACGCAAACGTGGCTCCCTTGCCCCGCTTCCTTCGCTGACTGGAAGTGACCGTTGTCCGACTGGTTGCTGGTACAGATGATGTTGTTGAACGTTTTCCAGCAAAATTCTCTTCATCCGGATCGTCGTCATCACTACTGATTAATACTGGCCTGCAGATGTGTAAAAAAAATAATCTCGCAATGTGACAACTGCAGTATTTTGCTCACACTCTGCATTTCAAGGAGCAGCCCCAATATTATTTAACTCCAGTGCTTCCCTAATTCCTCACCCCCCCCCAACATGCCCAAGAACAAGTTAGACTGTAATATGTGTGATTTGAAGAGATATATACTAACGAAAAGAAAGCTTGTCACTCGCCCTTACGTTGCACGGCCACGTTTATTACACACAGATAGACATGCGGCATTAAAGTGATTACGTCACCGTAAATTGTAAAACTAAAAAAAATATTTCTACTTTTTCACAAGATGCAAGTAATTCTGTTCACTTTTTATGGTTAAATTGCTGCATTATACTTCCTATTTTGCTATATTGTTCGATGTAAACATACACTCGTGGCTCATACATAGCCCATAGCAAGCAATTACTGTCAGGATAATAATATCAAATCGTCCAGGTTTTTTGGATTTCTAACTAGTTGAGAAACAATCTTATCAGGTAAGAATTTGACGATACATTAAGTCCTGTTAGTACTTACTTTGAATGTAAAAAAATGGCAACAAAATCTTTACAAATATCACCATAGAAAATTCGTGACATAGTCCAATTTACCGCCTGCAAAATCCAGCCGTTACACACCGTAGGGCAAACGCCTACCTGCTAGGTTTGGCACCATCACTCTCTGCAGGCCTGCTATTACGAGTCAGGAAACGCGACATGGTATTGGACCCAGCCAACTCGGTACCGTTTCCTCGCCTTGAACCAGCTGTGCTAACAGCTGAAGAACTCATAGTGAGTGATTCTGAAGCATAGAGACACTATGTAGCATACAAAATAAAATGAATCGATAGAAAAAAGCCATAAAAAACACATTAGTCGTCACTTATTCCACTAAGTTCAGAAAAAATTATTTGAAAAAAATCTATAATCATAATAAAAATAATTACCTAAGCAGGGGTAGAAATTAACTTTTGAAAATGCGAGTCCAACGGACTCCCTACCATCAAAAAGAGTCCGCAGTATACAAGTAGTACCGCAGATATTAACAAAAAGGACATTTGCGGTGCACATCTGCCAAATTTTCTTGGGTCATTTGCTAAAAAAAATGTCGTAATTCTGCGAGGCCGTGCTCTGGAATGAACTAGTTAGTATAGCACAATTTTCAAGGAGTCACACGGACTCCTGCATATGTCAAATCAGGGAGTCCGACAGTAAATCAGGGAGTATTGGACTCCAGACTCGCGTTAATTTCGCACCCTGTCTAAGTAATCGCATATCACGCTACTCAAGTTTGTACCCGAGTTTCCTCGAGTTGGAACTGTTCAAGGCAATCTCTTAAACTCTTACCTTTTCCGCGTCCCCTTCCTCCTCGGCTTCCTCTGCCACCGCGGGAGCCCCGACCTCCTCGCGACCCTCTCCCTCCGCGCCCACGTCCGCGCTTGCCCGTCCCAGCTTCCGCCGCCTCGCCGTCATCCGAGTCGAAGTCATCGTGAGTGAACTGGTCTCGCGGCTCGTTGCGGGTGGAGTTAGTCAGCCGGGAGCGTTCCAGTGCCTCCCTCACCTGTCACAAGGGCAATCCCATTAGCGGCGAACCCCACAAACAACGTACACCTAACTACACACATGCGCAGAGTTACTATTTTCACCGCACTGGTAGCCGTATGACAATCTCACATTGAGTGGTCACTTTGCAACCAGGTGCCAGACTGAGAGAGAGTCACACCTGTGAGCACGCAAACCAAGATGGAAGACGTAAGGAAAGAATTAAGTGCAGAAAAATATATAGTTTCTGCATGTAACTATCGCTTTATGCTCATTGTGAAATTGTAAACGTAAATTATAAATATATTTGTGCATATTCATAAGTAAAATAGCAGGTGAAATTTTGTCAGTCATCACCTCTGAGGCGTCATCATCCACTCTCCCCTTCCGCTCCTCCTTATATTGCTTGACTGCCTCTTCTAGCTCAGTTGCGCCTAAACCAAATGGAGGTTTGTTTTTCAGGTAGTCGCGAGTCTTCTGTAGCTGGTACTTTACGAGTTCCGATATTGCATCCTTCTCATCTTTCTCTACAAACTCCTACACATGAGCAGTAAATTAGTAATTCAAACACGCATGCACGCACCCACGCACGCACGCATACAGCTTTAGTTCTCACATTTCCAAATAATTGGCAGTGAGTTCCGCAAGGTTCCTGTTATTTCCTGCACTGCTATCCATTTCACACTATGAGGTCTCCGTTAATTAGTAATAGTTACACTAATGTGTAATTAGTAATAGTTACACTAATGAACAGTATCTCTGATCTCTTAAGTTTTTAGAAACATTGAGGTATAATGCAAACCATATAGTTTTCAAACAATCCATTTCCACTCTACATCAATGAAGGCCTAAAAAATATTCGAAAAACTTGATGCAGAACTGTATAATTATCACTCAACTAATTAGGGGAGGGGTAATACAAACTTAGATTAATGATAACCAGTGACGCACGCTGAAACCGACACCATTCTGCTATCGTACTAGCTGCACCTGACCGTGGTCAGACGAGGTAAGTAAAAAATAGAAAATATCAAAGTAAATGCTGGTGGCATGCTGCCATTGTTTGTCGGCAAACAGAATGGACACGTTACCTTGACGGCATCCCCGAGACCTCGCTCGGTGAGCAGCAGTAGCTTGTTCTTGCTGTCGGCCCGCGAGAAATATTCCTTCACGAGATCCTCGACTCGCGAGATTTCCAACTCTTCCTTCAGGACATCTGCCATTTCTGCACCTACGGACAGACAATTCACACACACAGGATTGCCAAGATGTTTATAAGATTATAACAAGCATTAATTGTCACTATCTATTAAATTAATAATTATAATAAACTGATATTTAATTATATAATTAATTAACAATATAACTACATCAACTATCACAATAAATATTTGCACACACGCATTCAAGCTTATAACTTATATAAGACTATTATAATAAAATTATAATGTAATTTATAACCAGGAATACATAATAAACACAATAATTATTAATAAAATGCAATAATAATAATAATTGTACTTATTGTATATTCTTGTTATAACTGCTGTCTACCAAGTTTAGGAAAAAACTGTTACCTCCTAACACTTGTTTCCACTATACCACGAAGAAAGTATTGCACACACACGTGATGTTTATAGCGGCTAAACAACAGGCATTCTTGTTAATAAGCTCACCTACAGTGTTGCCGTCTTTCAGGTTTCTCCCCATGAGCTTCTTTTTCAAAAAGTGAATAATCTCGTTTGGATTGGCCACTTTTTCTACAAACCTCTGGCCGAATCGACTGATAGGAAACGTTTCGAATCCACCGGAGTAGTCAACTCTGAGCCTGAAAAACCAACAAATCAATTCAACAGATAAATTAAAATTAGATAAATTAAAATAAATCAGATAAATTAAAATTAGTGCCGCAACACAACAGTGTTTATCCGGCGCTGAGCACTCAGCACAGCCAACCCATACAAGACCGTATGACATGCTGAGACTCTCCGGAAAATTCCCGAATCCTTTAGTATCTGAAGAGGATACACGAGGCTGCGTGCTCGCTCGTATCTCATAGTTGCTATCATGTTTGTACCATCATCTACAGATTACGCCTAATTCATACCACACCCAACTAGATCAGACGAGCTGAAATCAAATTCTAAGAAGTTATGGCAAGCCTGGTGGTATTGCTATGTACTTGAAGGGCCAGTGCTGTACCGTATACCTGATGAGAGGTAAAGTAGGCTGCCTCTCATTGCCTGTAAGCTGGTCACGCCTAGCCGTGTCTATCATCACCTCAATCTTTTCGGTACAGTAGTCTTCTATCTTCTTCTCTTCAACACGCACACACAATACTACATTAGATTACACATTAGAAACACGTACATATCTAACACAGCACTTGTCCCGTCATCAAAATGACGAATCCTGTACAGTCAAACCTGTATTCATACAAATTAATTAATACTCATAGCCTATAGAAGTGTCGCTCAAAGGGAAATCTCAAAAGTGTCCATTCTATGTGCCCATTTTATAAAGGTGGTTTCACTGTATAACTGCCACTCAGCGGAACCACCAAAAGTGTCCTTTATAGAAAGGTGTCCGTTCTATAGAGGTGTCCTTTATAGAAAGGTGTCCGTTCTATAGAGGTTGTCCTTTATAGAAAGGTGTCCGTTCTATAGAGGTGACCGCTAATTAATACGGGTCTTGACTGTGTCCGGCTGACGGCTAAGTGACTCACCAATGCCCTCCTCTGAGGGGTCAAGGCTGGTGGTGACTCACCAATGCCCTCCTCTGAGGGGTCAAGGCTGGTGGTGACTCACCGATGCCCTCCTCTGAGGGGTCAAGGCTGGTGGTGACTCACCGATGCCCTCCTCTGAGGGGTCAAGGCTGGTGGTGACTCACCA